CTTTTTCGAAGAATTAATCTAAAATCAAACAAGTAAAAACTAAATAGATTAATTCAAATAATAAGTACAAATATAAAAGCTATAAGTAAAAAGGAGAGATGATACAAATGATATAATTGTGAAGGTTCATTCCAAAACAATGATTTATGTTATCCGTTACCAAACTCTCCAACACGAGTAAAGCCTTTTCACTATATTGATTATGATGCAATCAAACCCTTTATAACGCTTCCAGTGACTTAAAAAGAAGGAGCACTGATCTTTATACAATGTTGAGCTTTACAGGAGCTCAACAGAACCCACTATTGAGCTTTAACGGGACCTCAATATGACCTACACTATTAAACTTTACGGAAACTCAACATAACCTACTATTGAGCTTTAACGGGACTTCAATATGACCTACACTATTAAGCTTTACGGGACCTTAATATGACTCACACTTTATTAAAGTGATTTTATAATGAAATTCTTTTTTTGATAAATAATACAAATAAATTAAGTACTAAGAGAGACTAACACTTCAATGAATAGAAATAAATGATAGTTCAAGTGTTAGATGAAAAACTTTGATACATATAATGATTTTATAAGTTTGATTCAATCAATCAAAATGCTTCAATGAGAAGATGAAGAAGAAATAAATGCAATGCATGTTCAAAATCTTCTCAAGATATATCTCCCTTTTAATAAATAATTGTAATAATAAGTACTAAACTTTGATGAATATAGTGATTTTACAAGTTTGATTCAGTCAATCAAAATTTTCAATATGAAGAAATAGAAAATTTTATGCAATGTAAATGTAAAGATCTTCTTCGAAAATATATCTTTTCTTTAAGATTGATATAGATAAGTTAAACTCAAAGAGAAAACAAAAATTTTGATGAGAGAACTGATTCAAGAAATTTTATTCAACAATTAAAGTTTTCGTTATGAAAAAATAAATAAAATGAATGTATAAATGTAAGCTTAAAGAAGATTTTTCACAAATATATTTCAAAAAAAGCTCTTCTGGTTGTTTTGTGAATGTAAAGTGAAGTGATCTTTATAATTGTCAAAACATCCAAAGTTCTGGCAAACCAGACTAGCCATCCGGACGTCTGCATCTTGAATCGGGCGACTCAACTATCTGTTTTGCCTCGAAATCAGAACTGTTAAAAAATTGATCATTGGCGAACCTAACGTCCGCATGGTCAACTGGATATCCGCTTCTTTTCGCGCAAAAAATGATTTTGAGTTTTTATTCATTGCTAAATATCAAAGTATTAGTACTTTTATATTTGAACTTATAGTTTTTTTTTATTTTGCTTCGAAATTTACCTATTAGACTTCTCGCCTTGATCTTTCTTTGATGTTGTTTTTCATGCGGTTAATCTTGCTTTTTCTTGACTTTTGTTTTTTAAACTTTCGTCTCGAATGATTTGATTTGAATGCTCAACTTTCACTTTGATCTTCATTTTGAGTCTGATTTATAATGTATTGATTTTAACAATGTTTGATTGATTTTAACATTAAACTATCGTCACCCAAAATCAATTATTAGAAACAATATTAATCTTGTTTGTTATGATCAAAATATTAAAGATGAAATCAACTACAAGTCAACATTTTCCCATTTCGCTTTCCTCTTACATCGAGAATATCTCATTCCGCCTGTTCCGTTTCGGAAACATTAACTTCATCCAAATCAATTGGATTAGTACTTTCATGAGCATTCAAATCGGAATATTTTCAAGAATGGACACGTCGTTGAGACCGGCAAATTCATTGTGAAATTGACTTTGTGTCCATATAGGTGATTTGCCATTGATTCCGAGCAAACCATCAACAAATGATTGTGACTCTATTTGTGATGAATTGATAATATATAAAATTGAATGAAGATGAAATGACGAAATAATATGTAGAAATTGGATAATTGTAGGAATGTAAATTGTAATGACAATGTGTATAAAATATTAAGTAGATAATATGTATTGTGCAATGTGTATAGTAAGTAAATAAGAGTATTTGAAGAATGTAAGATGTAAGAATATTGAAAATTTTGAAACTGAAGGTAGAATGTAGATTGTAGAATGTGGAAGAGAATAAGAATTGGTGTTGTGTGAAAATAATGTTAAATGGGTTGGGCATTTATAGAGCCAAAAAAAAAAAGGAAAAAAATAATAATTAAAGGGCCAAATGGCTACTGTTAATAGTTCAGTGACCGTTGTAACCGTTTTGATCATTGTAGATAGTGTGGCTCACCATCTATTCTCGTGGGCGAGCACACAAGTAGCTAGACTACGAGGCGAGGCAAGCCGAGCCAAGTGGATTCGGCTCGCCGACTAGCAGGCCCTCTAAACTCGTGCTCGAACTTATACAAGGACGAGCTCGAGTAACCCACGAACCAGGCTTTTAAGAGCCCAGCACCTAAGTTGATGAGCTGCTTGGCTCATTTGCCATCCCTAAGATAACAACGTTGATTTCATTATAAAAACGAAAAATGTGGGCTATCTATTATTGTAGAAAATATCATTACCTTTTATTTGTTTGACATTTTTCCCTTATTTCCACCTTTCATAAAGTGAAATGTCATTTTATCAATTTTCTCAATTAAGAGCTGTGAAATGACGAATATACTTTTTTGTTTAAATAAATTAAAAAGAAAAAAAAGTAAGAACTAATTGTAACCATAGTCCCAAATTTCTCAAAAAGTACAAACGAGTTCCAAATAAATAAATTAGTGAAAGGGAAATTAGCACATAATGTTCACATCATTTACTATTATTGTGAAAAATCCCTACTTTTCATATTTTTGACATTATTACCATTAATTACACATTTGATTGTACAAACCATCATTTCTATTAATTTTTATCCAATTTCTCAACAAAAACTGTGAAATGACAAATATACCCTCCTATTTAAATAAAAGAAAATAAATAATTAATTGCAACCAAGTCCCAATTTTTTAAAAAAGTGCAATCGATTCTCAAATAAATTATTAAAAAATTAAAAAATAAAATTTTTTTTATAAAAAAAAAAGTGCAAACGAGTCTCACATAAATTATTAAAAAAAAAAAATTTGAAAGAGCAAACGAGTCCGAATAAATTATTTAAAAAATAGAAATGATTTTTTTAAAGCAAGTGCAAACGAGTCCCAAATAAATTATTAAAAAAATATAAATGATTTTTTTTTAAACCAAGTGTAAACGAGAACCAAATAAATTATTAAAAAAAAAATTAGAAATTTAAAAAAAATAAATTAAAAGGTGCAAGTTTCAAATAAATTATTAAAAAAATAGAAATAAAAAAATTCCTTCTTTTCATTTAAATATGAGGGTTTATTCGTTATTTTGCATTTTTTTTTTTAAGAAATTAGATGAAAATGGATAGAAATGAAGGTTTGCGCAATTAAACGTGTAATTTAAGGTAAAAATGCCAAAAAAAAAAATAATAATAATAAAATGAAAGATATGGACATTTCATAATAATAATGAAATGTAGGGATATTATGTGCTAATTATCTTTTTAATAATTTATTTGGAACTCGTTTACAATTTAAAAAAAAAAAAAATTAAGACTGTAATTGCAATTAGTTTTTTTTTATTTAAATAGAAGGGTATATTTGTCATTTTTCAACTTTTAATTGAAAAAATTGATGAAACTAACATTTTGCGCAATGAAAGATGAAAATGACGTTGTGTGCTAATTATCCGCATATCTATATATAGGTAATGCTACATGTACACACACACTTTTACACAATCTTTTACACCTCTCTTACATGGAGGGGGTCCACGATTATTTTATTATGTGTGGGCCCCCTTCCAGGTGAGAAAGGTGTAAAAGATTGTGTAAAAAATTGTGTACACTTAGCATGATTCATGTACATGCACACACACTTTTACACAATCTTTTACACCTCTCTCACATGGAGGGGGGTCCACGATTATTTTATTATGTGTGGGCCCCCTTCCATGTGAGAGAGGTGTAAAAGATTGTGTAAAAAATTGTGTACACTTAGCATTATTCTCTATATATATACACAGAGACATTCAAACGAGCCCTTGAGCAAATACCAGTCATACGCGTATTTCAGTGACGTATCCATTTACTTGATCGTTGACTCCATAAAACAGTCCAAATAATTGCAAGGAGCAAACAATTTCGGTCCACCGTGAAAACCGCGTGATTATAATCCCATAATCATGTTTGGCTAGTTATCAGAAGCTTTTTCTCGAAGGTAACTATTAGGCTTGGCCAGTTCTAATTGCAATTACCCAGAGAATCCGACAACCTAAGACAAGATTCAGAGGGCATATCAAAACAGGTACGTGTTTGCTTTTCTTTACTTTGCCATTACTATGGTTTAAATGATCTTCAAGTTAAAACTATGAAATTTCATACAAATATATATGCCTAATGGCTGCATGAATTTTGATGATGTTAGTGAGTCTTGTTAAATTTCTTTCTTCGTTAGGTTCCTTTATGTTGGGTTCGTTGAGGGAAAATCTCAAATCAATAAAATATGAAAAGTAAAAACGATAATCAAGAGGCTCAGGCTACTACTATTTCTGAGATTTTAAGATGAAATCCAAGACTCAATAGGGTTATTTGGATTTGATTCAATGGCTCCCATAGTACTTATTATGATTCCTGGATGAATAAACTGGTCAGTGATTATGGGCAAAAAATGAAATATAGGGTGGATCTTAAGTCTTGGTTATTGCGATGATCATTGATTTGTTGTTGCTGGTTATCAATGTTCATCACGGAGTGAAACTCTTGTTGTAGAAGTTAAAATATCATCTATTTATACTATCCTCTAGTACTTTATACCAAATATGCACTTGATGTTTACTGCTTTCTTCTTATTTTCCCTTTTCTCTTACTTTGTTATTAGAATATAGATGACCAGAATACAGACTTTTTACCGGGATGTAAAGTTGAGCAGTTGATAAGGAAATGATTAGAAATTGAGGAATTTTATTTCTCATTTGTCTGTATTAAACATGGCAAACAATGCAGTTGACGCCTCCCCCAGTGTGATTTCCAACAATCTTCTTGTTTCTGCTAAATTCATATTTGAAACGGTAGATGCGGCAAGACAAGTTGTCGTTCAGAAAGAGAATTTCGAGAAATTCTCATTCCACTTGGAAAGGACTGCTTTTTTTCTTAAAGAATTCTCCACGTTTGAACTAAATGATTTTGAGAGATTACATGGTGCCATTGATGATCTTAATCTGGAGATAAAAGTTGCTAAGCAACTAGCTTCTGAATGCAGAAACCGGAACAAAATTTATCTCTTCTTAAATAGCCAGAAAATCATAGATGAAATAAAGAAAAATACAAAGAATATTAGTAGGCTTATGAGCCTCTTTACTTCTGGATCTTTGAACGTTTCATCAGAAATAATTAGACAGTTAAGGACACTGTGCAAGAATATGTTAGATGCTGAATACCAACCAGCTGCTATAGAGGAAGAAATTTTGCAGAAGATTGAAAGAGGAATTGAAGAGAGAAACGTTGATCGATCTTACGCAAACAATTTGCTTGTTTGTATTGCTGACTCTGTTGGAATCTCAAGTGAGCATTCTGAAATTAAGGCAGAATTTGAAAATTTTAAGAAGGAAATGGAGAACAACGAATTAAGGCCGGATTGGACCGAGGATTTACGGATGGAACAGATCATACTATTGCTTGGTAAGGCAGACATGGTTATGACTCCTATAGAAAAAGAGATGAAGTACTTTAACAAACGCAACTCTTTGGGTCGGCAGCTGTTGGAACCTCTTCAATCATTTTATTGTCCAATAACCGGGGGCATCATGGTGGATCCAGTTGAGACTTCCTCTGGCCATTCTTTTGAGCGAACAGCAATTCAGAGGTGGTTAGAAGACGGGAATAACGTCTGCCCGCTAACTAAGACTCCCTTGAACAAATTATCGCTGCGGCCCAACAGAACTCTTCACCAATCCATTGAAGAGTGGAGAAATCGAAACACCATGATTAGCATTGCTTCCATGAAACCCGACATCCAGTCGAGCAATGAGCAAGAAGTACTTCATTGTTTGGAGAAGCTGCATGACTCGTGCATAGGAAGCGAGTTGCACCGGGAATGGATAGTAATGGAGGATTATATACCAATTTTCACAGGTCTCCTCAGTTCAAAAGGTCACGAAATAAGACTTCTTGCTTTAACTATCCTTCACTGCCTTGCTAAGGATGCTGATGATAACAAGGTAAATTTTCTGTACTTATTCCTAATCTATATTTAATATATGTCTATTACACCAGAACTCTAATTTTGTCTCAGGAAAGAATTGCAAAAGTAGACGATGGGATCAAATATGTTGTTCGGTCACTTGCACGTAAATTTGAAGAAAGCACGATGGCACTTAAATTGCTTTTGGAATTATCAAGAAGCAGTGCTGTTATGAACTTCATCGGGAATGTTCAGGGCTGTATACTTCTACTTGTAACTTTGGCGAATAGCGATGACACACAAGCTGCAGAATATGCTCAGGAGGTTTTGGATAATCTTGCATTCATAGATCAGAATGTTATACAAATGGCGAACGCAAAATATTTTGGACCTCTATTGCAGCGTCTTTGTGAAGGTAATATCTTCAACAGTGTCCTGTTATCAGGTGAAATCTATAGTATAATTCAGGTCACAATGTTTAGATAATTAGCTTATGAAATATACTGAATAACTGACTATAAACTGTGACTGCAATCCGAAAGATGTTATTTTGACTTTTAACGGATACATAATTGGTACAGGACCCACAAGCGCACAGATGATCATGGCAGAAACCTTGGCTGATATGGAGCTGACGGATCACAACAAGCTCGATCTCTTTAGGAATGGGGCACTGAAGCCACTCCTTCAAATGCTCGTGCATGATGCTGAAGAGAATAAGGCAGTAGCAGTTAAAGCTCTTGAGAACCTCTCGAGTGTAGCACAAAATGGTTTGCAGATTATTAGAGAAGGGGCTACACAGCCACTGTTTGAACTTCTCTTTTGTCATACCTTATCGTTACCAAAATTGCGTGAACGGGTAGCAATAATTATCATGCACCTATCTATATCGACCACTGTCCAAGAGGCTTCTGAGGATCAGGTTTTGCTTTTGGAATCTGAGGAGGACGTTTTCAAACTATTTTCGCTTATTTCACTGTCTGGACCTAATATGCAACAAACACTCCTCAGCACCTTCCTTGAAATGTGTAAATCCCCTTCCGGTTTTAATATCAGGACTACCTTGAGACAGGTAAGCATCTTTCTTGTTAAAATTCAGGTGCATGTTAAATGGAATTTCAGAGGTTAATACTACATTACTAGAATTTGAGTGTATACTGCAAAATATAGAAAGCATAAAGTGGAACTTCTGTTTCATATTCATTATTTCGTTTTTTTTCTTCTCTTTGTTCCATACCAAGCTAAAAGAAATACTGGAGAAACCATTAATAGGATTTCTTAAATTTATCTGACATTTCTTCTCTTTCCCTCCCCTGTATTTCAGAGCTTTTGCAAACCTCATTATTCAAAATATTTGGACTATTTGCGGTCCACTTTCTCTCGGATTCATCTTCTTTTTAATTTCAACCATCAAAAATCAGAGTTATATAGTTAAATCATCATGTAGTCCTAATTTATGATATTCACCAGATCTCTGCTGTTAAAGTATTGGTCCAGTTATGCGAACTTGACGACCATGTTGTGAGGGCTAGTGCAGTGAAATTGTTCCATTATCTTACAGAAGATGGTGATCACAGCACCTTCTCAGAGCATGTGAACACGAGATATATTGAGACATTGGTAAGGATTGTTAGAACTTCCCATGAAGAGGATGAGATTGTTGCAGCCATGGGCATAATCTCGAATCTTCCTCGAGATTTTCAGATGTCTCAGCAACTTTTAGACCTTGGTGCACTTGAAATCATCTTTGATTGCCTCACTTGTAGAAATACTCATGCTTCACATAAAAAAGAAGTCGTTGAGAATGCTGCTCGAGCCCTTTCCCGGTTCACCGTCTCAACAAATCCCGATTGGCAGAAGAAAGTAGCTGGAGAAGGCACTATTCCAGTTCTGGTGAGTTTACTATCTTCTGGAACTTCATTGACTAAGCAACATGTAGCCGTTTCACTTAAGCAGTTTTCAGAAAGTTCTAGCAACTTAAGCAAGCCAGTGAAAAACACAGGGACATTCAGTTGTTGCTTTCGGCCTCCAGAATCTAGCTGCCCCATACACCATGGTATCTGTACTGTTAAGTCGTCATTTTGTCTTTTGGAGGCTAATGCTGTTAAACCCCTTGTGATGGTTCTTGGGGAGCCGGATTCTGGTCCTCGTGAAGCTTCATTGGATGCAATTTTGACCTTAATTGATGGTGAAAAACTTCAGAATGGTATTAAAGTTGTTGAGGAGGCCAATGGTTTGCTTCCCATTATTAAGCTGTTGAATTCATCCTGTACCGGATTGCAGGAAAAATCTCTGGAGGTTTTACACAGAATGTTTAGAATTGTCGAATTTAAACAAAAATATGGGAATTCTGCTAAGATGTCATTAGTGGATATCACTCAGAGAGGAACCAGTAATGCAAAATCTTTGGCTGCCAAAATTCTCTCTCAGTTGGATGTACTTCATGAACAGTCTTCATTTTTTTGATCGTGATATTGAAATGCAGGTACATATTTAATTATTTCCATTAACATCAAGAACAATTTTAGTGCAAATGTAATTGTCCCTTTATTGTTGCATGGTCTGTTGGAAATTAAATAGAATATAAAATATGAAATTCAGTATTTTGAAGAGAGGAAAAAAAGAAAAAGAAAAAGAAAAAGCGATCTCTTTCGCTTCATGTATTGTTGCTAACAAAACTGGTGTTTATTCCTAAAGATATGATACTTTTTTCAACATTAATACGAACTTGACTGGGGAATGAGCATGAGCACTTGATTGCTTGGAAATAATAGTAAACTCTGATTTGTGATGCTTGGATCGAGTGGGAGCAATTATTTGCCTACTCACATCTTTTGAATCTAGTAGTTAGATAACAGTTGTTTAGATTGAACACAATTTAGTGGTTGAGATTGTACCTTTTAACTAAGAATCACGTTCTTGCTCAGCCCTTATTTTGTAATATTAAACAAGAATGAGTATAAGCAAAGTGTTCGTGTAAATTCCGCAAGCATATGAAATTGTTGGCAAATAATAATGTGACAAATGAGTATGATCCCACTGAGAATAAATCCTAAATGAGTAGTACTAGATTTGTACCAAATTCGAATGTTTATTACACAAAAGAGATAGTTTTATCGAAGTTTATATTATTCTATGATTTATCTACGGATTGTTTTTATGACTTATGAAATGAATGGGACTTGTGAATCCACGTGTTATTCTCATATCGTCAATTCTCAACCTATGTAATTAGTTTGATCTATGTGTTTTTGACAATCAATAATCCAATTATATTTAACTATCTCTCACGAGGTAAGTTAAACAAATTCTAAGCACGACCCAATCATAGTTCTATTCCGGATTCATATGCAAAGTAACTCGTGAATTACAAGATTATCTAAATGATTCACACACCATATTTAACATCTATTACCTGTGTTAATCTTTTAGTCTTTTAAACTTATTGTGAACCATTTACTCTACAACAAGCAACTAATTATCTAATTGGTAGCCAATCAATCAAGTAATGCAATGCTCATGCAAGATTAATCAAGGAAATCAAGAATACACTAAACTAGTGTCTTTGAATTAAAGTAATCAAATAAAAAAGTTTGATCATCATCCAATACAAATAAGAATTTAGCCTAGCATCATTTTTATGATATTACAAGAATAAATATGAAAAGATATCACCCCGAACGTATATGATTACAAGAAATCTGATTTGGGATCAATTTCTTGTTTTTGATCGTCAATTCCAAGCTTTGGATCTTCAATTATTGAAGTAAATTGCCTTCTTTAAGCCTTTGCTAGACTCGATCTCTATGTTATGATGTGATACTATAGTATCATAAGTCTCCCTGAGGTTGCTTCCCTTGTTGTATATTTAAGGGAAAATTATAGTCACGGTACCAAATCTTTCATTTTGTTGTAGACTTGACCCAAACCGTTATTTTGACTGTTAATTGATTCAAAAAATTGACTTTGACCAATTTTAAAAGAAGTAAAATGGTAGTTTTTAATTAAAATAAAACAAAAAAGCAAAATATAAAAAACCAAACCAAAAATTTCCCCACCCCAAAACCAAATACTAAAATTCAGCAACACCACCGGCCAAAAGCTCCCCTACCTCCACCCCATTAACGCCAGCTAAAGCATAGTTTGAATTTTTGTATGTGAAGGGCTATTGAGATGTGGGAAGAGTTACAAATTGTGATAGATGAAATAATTACTAGAAGATTGCCAATCATTTTCACCTTTTTGTTCGGTTTTAGATTCAAAAATTGAATTGGAAATTGGAGACGGCGATGACATGCGATTGTGTGGTGGAAATTTTGATGAGTTTCTTGAGTGGTATTGGCGTATGTGCTGGCGTTGGGTGGTGTCAGTGGTGTGGCTAGATTTCCCTTAGGTTTCTCTAGGATAAATTCTTGGTTTTTTTTGGATTTCAATTTAGCCTCATTTTCTACACATGTTTCTTGAGAAGTGGACTCCATAAATGGCCGATTTTCCATTTTTTGGGCTTTTTTTTTTTTTTTTTATGCCTGCTCTATGAAACTTAAGGGCAGTGACAATTTCTATTCTTGCTTCAGCCATATTTAGAATCCTCTCTTGATACGGTCTGTTGGTGTGGAGTTTTCTTCTCACTTTTTTTTTTTTTTCAAGTTTTTCACTTAATCCTTTACCATTTTTAGCTGAATTTTGGTTGACGTAAGAATTGACTTCCTACATTTGAATTGTGAATCTCAACTCTACAAGAATCATCAGTGTTGGTGCTATCGACTACCGTGCCTGGGTTAGGTAACAGTAGCAGTGACTAAGGCCGATTTTCAGGGGTGGGGATAGGGGTGGGTGGATAACTTTTTGATTTTTTTGTTTTATTTTAATTCAAAGTTACCATCTTATCCATTTTAAAATTGGTCAAAGCTAATTTTTTAAGTCAATTAACAGTCAAACGAACAGTTTTCATCCATTTGGACTCAAGTGTAAATTTTTGAAAGATTTGATACCGTGATTGCAATTTCTCCTATATTTAAAGGGGTCAAAATTAGGTAAAGAAACGTGTCCAAATTAGGCCCCAAAAGAGTTATAATCGAACAAGAAAAATTGTCAACGTAAGTTGTGAATCAACCATGGTAGAACAGGAAGCAATTGCACAGGCAAATCAGTTTGGCCACGGGTGAGCTGAAATCAGGGGATGCGATCACACCATAGAAAATTTGGGCAAATTGCATTTTAGTCCCTGATTTTGCTCCTTGATTTTTTCAAAGTCCTCAAAGGTTTTTCTATCGGGCCCTTGAGATGCTGAACAATATAGATATGTGCCCCTAGCTTCAATAAATCTTTAAAGAATGTTTATTGCATGTTCACCAATACCAGGAAAATTTCTGGTAGAGACATCCAGTGTTTGCGGTCACTCAACTGCCCTTTCACTATTGGGCAGACAAAACTACAATGGATTAGCTGGAAGAAACCTCCGGGACAACAGTTTATATTAAATGTTGATGGAGCATCCAAAGGTAATCCGGGGTTAGCAGGCGGAGGAGGAATCCTACGGGATTGGAAAGGTCTACTTCGGGCTGGTTTTTCTCATCACTACGGGACTTGCACAAATATGGTGGCTGAAACTCGTGCTTTTCTTGATGGTTTGCGTATGTGTAGGACCCTTGGAATCGACAATATTATTGTGGAAACGGACTCAAAGGTGCTGACACAATGGGTGAGGAATGACTCTTGTTCTTTATGGTGGCTTTGGGATTATTTGGATGAAATTATGGGTTTGATTGGTTTGCTGAATGCCTGGGTTCAACATGTGTTTCGAGAGGCAAATATGACAGCTGATTTTTTGGCAAAAAAGGGGAGTGATGATACTTCTAATCATATGTTTTTTGCCAATGAGATTCCAACTCTTCTTAATTGAATTTTGCGTACGGATCGTTTGGAAATACCTTACCTTCGACGTTGATTAGGTTATGCTTTGAAGGTTATTTTTATGTAATTACGGTTTTCCTCCGCCATAAGTGAGGTTTTTTCAATAAAACTGTCCTCTTGTTTTGTCAAAAAAAAAAAAAAAATTCCATAGGTCCCTTAGAGTATTTCTTTGAAAGCACGATAGTGGGCCCCCCAATTGAGGCCCAAAGTTCTGATGCATGAATATAAGAAGACCATTATTAAGAGTAAATCTCCTATGCAGAATGACTTATTCTTCACCTTAAAGTGGTCATAACGGGACATCTTTTTGTGATACACATCTAATTTAACATGAGACTCATCTTGACGATCATCAAGTAAATCTAAATTTGCTTGCCTCAATTTATCATTAGTGATCTCATTGAAATAAAGACGAGGAGGAGATGGAAGACCCACTTCCTATAGGCTGATGGCTTTTGCCCTGTAAGCCATTGGAAAAGATTCTCCCATGTGGAAATTCTACCTCTGGTCCTTATAGCCTACAACGTATCTTTTGCCCGGTAAGCCATTGAAAAAGATTCTCCCATGTGGGAATTCTATTGGAGAACTCATCGGCCTAAGCACCCTTAAAGGCATTAAGGTTGCACTAGAAAGTATACTTGGTGATTTTTTACAATCCTAAACAGATCGTTGGCTTGAGGATGGTATGTGGAGAAGTGCTTAATTTTGAATCTTATTGTTGTCAAATTGTTTGCCATTTTCGGAGGCCTAGGAGTGGAAATATTAAATCGACATATGACATTCTTCAGATAAATTTGGAGGTGTTCCCCTCTGTGATGTTCGTTGAAGGCTCAAGCTCAACCCATCTGGTGAGTAGTCGATGGTGACAATGATGTGGCATACATTGCCTCTTCCTATTGGAAAGCCCCAATAAAATCAATTCCGAACTTGGAAAATGGAAAAGGGTGGCAACTACTATGAGCTCTTGATGTGGCTACCTACGGATCGGGGGTACTTGTCAAAATGACCTAGTCAAAGGTCCCTAAATCCATTTTGACTTTTCCAATTGCCAATAATCCCAAAATGCCCCATTTGCTATAAAAAGACAAAAACA